AGTGTTTTGCAAGCATCACCCCTGTCTGGTTCCAGAACACTTGCGTCCCTCCAGATGGAGACCCCGTACTCACGAAGCAGTCACTCCCTATTCCCCCCCACCGGCCAGGCCCTGGTGCCCACCACTGTGCTCTCCAGCTCCGTGGATTTCACATAAAGGGAGTCCTGCGGCGTGGCTCTTTTGGGTCTGGCCGCTTTCCCTGAGCTGTGTCTTTAAGGCTCGTCTGTTCAGTAGTGTGTCAGGAACTCATCGTTCTTACTGCTGAGCAACCGTCCGCAGTGTGGCTGTGCCTCATTCGGTTCCTCCATTCACTGCTTGATGCACTGAGCTGGTATTACTTTTCTAATATAAAAAATATTAGGGGTGCCTGGGTGGCTCAGTCGGTGTTTCTCTCTCTCTCTCAAAAATAAACATTAAAAAAATTTTAATTAAGTCAACTTTGAAAATGTAAACGTCAAAGGTGTTAGGGGCCACCCTTCAATGCAGGGGTGCGTGCAGAAGCCCAGAACAGAGGTAACAAACAAATATGCTGATGTCCTAGCCTCTGAAAAGAGCTTGGTATGAGCGGTGATACCCGAGAGTTGAAGTTAGAAGCCTCCAAAGCAGTGAGCTCAACCAGAAAGAAGGGGAGCAGAGAGAAGAGGTCCCCCCACAGTGGATCAGCAGACCAGGTTCTGGCCCTGGCTGTTCTCAGACTCCCCCCACCCTCGGGGGAGCTTCCAGAACGTAATGGTGTTCTGAATCGGGATGTCAGCGTCCTTCTGGTGTTCGTGGCCCTGGGGTGGGGCCCAGGCGGAGTAGTTCTGTGCCAGCTCCCGGGTGAGTACAAAGTGTCGCTAGAGTTGACCAAGCCCCGCGATCCCCACTATAAAGATCGGCACAAACCAGCCGGAGAGAGAGCAGGTGCACCTTCTAGAAGGTCCTGACCACAGGCCAGAGAGAAAGACTGGAACAAGCAGAGACACAGCCCTTTCCTGGTGACCCGAGGAGGGTCGGTGGTGGCAGTGGGGCCCGGGGCAAGGGGGCCGCCAGGCTGCTATGGGAGGTGGTCTCTGTGGGTAATACCGCAGCTCTAACCTGCCTCCCCTAACGGCCAGGTTCATTAAGATCGGCGACAAGGAGGTGGAGTATCACCCCAAGTTCCGCCTCATCCTGCACACCAAGTACTTTAACCCGCACTACAAGCCCGAGGTGCAAGCCCAGTGCACCCTCATCAACTTCCTGGTCACCAGGGACGGGCTCGAGGACCAACTCCTGGCTGCTGTGGTGGCCAAGGAGCGCCCAGATCTCGAGCAGCTGAAGGTACCGGGGCCTGACGTCAGCCCCACGTGGCTCGGGGCGGGCTGTTCAGTCACAGCGAGGTTCCCTGACCCAGCAGCGGCCACCCCAAAGCATCCCAGCCTGTCGCACCGATGGCATTAAGTGCACCAGAACGAGCCACTCTTCCTCCCCGGTGGCCTCCCAAACCGAATTCCAGACCAGACGACTAATTCACTGACGGCAGAGGAGCCTCAGCGGTGCCCAGACGGCCCCATGTGCCAAACCGCTGCCCCACCAGCATGGCCTTTGCGGCCGGCCCCTGTGCGTGGTCAGAGCGGGCTCAGAGCGGTCCCAGGCCCTGCTCCCTGGCCACACACGGCTGCCCAGGACAGGCTCAGGCTTCTCCCGTCCGTGCTGGGGCCTCAGCTGAGCGGTGGGGGCAGCGCCGGCCCCTGCCTGAGCCCGCCCCCCAGCCCCCCGGTCTGTCCCTCCTGCAGGCCAACCTCACCAAGTCTCAAAATGAATTCAAGATTGTTCTGAAAGAGCTGGAAGATTCCCTGCTGGCCCGTCTGTCGGCGGCGTCGGGGAACTTCCTGGGGGACACAGCCTTAGTGGAGAATCTGGAGACCACCAAGCACACAGCCAGTGAGATCGAGGAGAAGGTGAGCGCGCACGGCCGCCTCCGTGGGGGGCCGCCTCCCCCGGTCACTGAAAAGAGAAGCCACAGTCCCATGCATGCCCCGGGGCCCAAGGCAGGGAGCAGCATGCCAGCTGCCAGCCGAGGGTCCCCCCAGGCAGGGGGCGGGCCCACTGCCCTCTGGCGCTATCCACCTGCTCATCCCACTCGAGCCCCATTTTTTTTTGAGGTACGAGAGGCAAAAATGACAGAGGCTAAAATCAACGAGGCCAGAGAGAACTACCGGCCAGCCGCAGAGAGGGCGTCCCTGCTGTACTTCATCCTCAACGACCTCAACAAGATCAACCCCATCTATCAGTTCTCGCTCAAGGTGTGGGTGCAGCCAGGCTCCGGGGCGGGGGGCCTGGAGTCCACAGAACCCCCAGCCGTCAGGACAGTCGGGGTCCAGGCTGTAGACAGAGGTGGGAAGAGGGAGCTGGGGCACGGGATCTGTTCCAGGCCAGCACCCCGGGGAGGGGCTCCTCTCCCGGTGCCCCAGACCCCCACCCGCCGCGGAAATAAACTGGAGCCCCCACAGGAAGCACGGGGTGGCCTCCAGCCCCATGAGCCTGTATGCACCCCTTCCCCAGGCCTTCAACATGGTGTTCGAGAAAGCCATCCAGAAGACTGCCCCGGCCGAGGAGGTCAAGCAGCGAGTGATCAACCTGACGGACGAGATCACCTACTCTGTCTACATGTACACGGCCCGCGGGCTCTTCGAACGGGACAAACTCATCTTCCTGGCCCAGGTGGCCTTCCAGGCAAGTCTGGCCTCCCTTCTCGGAGTGTGGCCCGCAATGCAGATTCCCGGGTGATGGCGTTCGTTGGAGTCATCGAACGATGCTGGGGGACCTGCTTGGGGTTCTGTTGGCACCGGGCACGGTTGTAGGTGGCAACCACTGGAGGGGAGGTCCGTTAAAGAGAATTCTACAAAGACCCATCATTCTCACTGCATTTACGTTAATGCCGAGCAAGCAGTCCTGCGCCAGCGGGCGGATAACCACCGTGGACGCCGAACGCTATCTCTTAAGGAAGTAAAGATACTGACGGATAAATAGTTCTCCTGTTCATACAGACAGACCCGCTGAAATTGACCAAACAGCCATTAAATGGATTGTTCCATTAAATCGATCAAACAGCCCCTCCACCCTCTGGTTCACGGTCTCGTGGGTGTGGCAGAAAACACGAATTTCTAGATAGCTTCTGGAAGTTTGCTTCCCTTCCAAACTCAAACTATGAGTCAGGGTCCAGGTCGAAGAGGTTTTCCTTCACCTGCATGAGTTCCTGAGCGGCAGGCCCGGCGTGCGCTTTCTCCCCACCGAGGGGGCAGCAGGATACTTGATGCACGCCCTAAATTTCCAAAGGAGTTTCTCTTCTGACCAAGAGACAGAAAGAAAAAGAGAGAGAGGGTCTGACTCGCGTGAAACTCTGCTCCGTGGCGTCGGAGAGGAGCTGCGTGGCTGTCCGTCTGTGGCGCTGCGGTGACCGCGGCCCCAGCTCCCCGGCCAGATGGACAGAGTGGGCCAAGCCACCTCTCAAGGGCCGAGACCCGGCCTGCTGGGTGCCCACAGAGCTGGTGGGCACGCGTGACAAGGCGACACGGACTAGGACCCAGAAAATTCCCCGTCCCGAAACGTATGTGTATATGTACCGGAGACGTACGTGTCCCAAAGAACTGACTTGTATACGAACACAGCAGCTCTGCTGATAATCGCCACAAGGTGGATGTGGCCCAAACGTCCATCAGAGGATGAGTGGATAAACCACACGTGGTCTCTCCACACGACGGAACATCATTTGGCTACAACGTGGGTGAACCTGGAGGACAGAGTGACAGAAGCTGACGGGAGCGGGCCACATCTGCAGGATTCCACTGCACGGGGCAGATCCAGACAGAGCATAGACCCTGGCATCACCAGTGGCCCCGGCTGTGGGTGTGGGTGTGTGTGTGTGTGTGTGTGTGCTGTGCACAGGGTCAGGGGTTCCCTTTGAGAAGAAGAGAAAGCTCTGCTTCTAGATAGAGGTGATACGATTTTACGAAAATTTTACGCTTTAATAGGGGTAAGGCGGTACATTTTGTGTCCTGTGTATTTTACCACAATTTAAAAAATCAACAAGTCAAGGTGAAAAGAAAGTCTTGCCCGGACCCAGAGGGCAGGACGGGCCAGGGGTGTGAGCTCCTCGGCCTGCCCTGGGTCTGTCTGTACGTCTGTGACCGAGGTCCCAGGTGCTCCTGCCAGGGGCTGGCGGCCGCCCTGCCCTGCCGTTGTGGGCTGACGTCTGAGCGGCCCCCGTGTCCCCCCAGGTCTTGTCCATGAAGAAAGAGCTGAATCCGGTAGAGCTGGATTTCCTCCTGCGGTTCCCTTTCAAGGCCGGGGCCCTGTCGCCGGTGGACTTCCTGCAGCACCAGGGATGGGGCGGCATCAAGGTGGGCTGCGGGCCCCATCACTGCCGCCCAGCCCCTGGGGCTCACGCTGGGGACGTTTACAAGGCGGACATTCAGCGAAACGGGGCGGGGGGCGGACCCCGGAGGAGGGGCCGGGGTGCAGAGGGCTACCTGCCGGCTCGCAGGAAACTCTACTTTCTTGTCTGAACCCGGCGGTCCTTACGACCCGCACACAGCCCTGCCTGCACCCCGCAGGCTGAGCCACGGGCGGGGCGGCCCCTCCACCACCAACCCCTACCTCCCGTTCTGGCCGAGTGCAAAGGGCCAAGGAAGCTCCTCCGATTCCGGGCACACGCACTCAGGGGCCCTGGGGGTCTCCGTTCACAAGACCTGAAGAATGGGGTCCCCTGCGGTGGGAGCGGCCCCGGTCCCACAGCCCTCTGGGGGGAGGACGGGAGGAGGCCGGCCCCGGGTCATGCGCTCCGTGGTTCTATCCGGGGCCCACAGTGGAGCCAGCGGCTCCTTTTAGGGCCGAGCCAGGCGGCCCACCCTCCGCCAGCACCGGGGAGCTGAAAGGCCATCTGCCCCCAGGCCCTGTCGGAGATGGATGAGTTCAAGAACCTGGACAGCGACATCGAAGGGTCCGCCAAGCGGTGGAAGAAGCTGGTGGAGTCAGAAGCCCCGGAGAAGGAGATCTTCCCCAAGGAGTGGAAGAACAAAACTGCGCTGCAAAAGCTCTGCGTGCTGAGATGCATGCGGCCGGACCGCATGACCTACGCCGTCAGGTGGGCGTGGCGCCCGGGGTGGGGGAGGAGCTGCCTGTGGCCCCACCCTGTGGGGGGTGGGAGGGACGGGGACCCCGCCCACTGGCGCTCCGCCCCCTCCTCCTGCTAGCCTGAGGCACAAGTGATGGGGAAACAGGACACCCCACCTGAGCCGTCAAGATTCTTCAAAGTGTGGGCGTTAATGGCTCTGGGGCCACACAGAGTCCTTTTAAGATGCAGTGGGAACAGTGGCAAAGCCATCAGCACCCCAGGACTTTGATGCCCTCACTGGCTAAATTGAAGCTCAATCTTTTCCTCAGTTTTGGCTCCTTTGCAGAGAGAACTGTTCCAATTTCGTGAATAATTTCTCTGCCCCCAAAACCTCTGCACGACTGGAAAATTAATCACCATGGCCTTTCGGCAAGCCATCCCGTTCACACCCCTGCTGGGACTGTCCTCTCACAGAAAGGCTCCAGGAGCCACAACATCACAGAACACCTGCACCGATCCCCCACGGGTGACACCTGAGATATCCCATCCACCCTCCCCTGGAGCGAAGAGGACTTCCCTCCTGCCCACCAGGGCGACCAGGGAGGACGGAGATGCCACCAGAAGGAGGGAGGACAGAGCAGACAAGGAACCAAGCTCAGTGTCTGTTCTCCGACATGACACATTACAGTGTCTTTGCCTTTTCTTTGTCCTAGCAGAGCCCAAAAGCAGCCAGATTCCCCAAACGGTGCCTGTGTCCCTAACAGAACTCCCCTCCAACCAAAGCAGCGGCCGGACTCTGCCACTGGCTGTTCACAGACATTTCTGTTTTGCTGTTTGCTGGGGGCTCACGGGCAGGGCAGGAAGGGGCCAGACAGAAACAAGACATCCCCGTCATGTGCTGGAAGAAGTTGGAACAAAGTCTGGGAAAGGTCAGGGTGAAGGACGCACACCTGGCCAGCACAGCGGGCACACGGCCCCCTGGGGGAGCTGGGCATATTCGGGTGTCCCTGCCGGCTGCCTCCAGAGCACTGTGGTGAGTCACCACCTGCGCCCACTCTCCAACATGGCACGATACGGTGTCACGAAGGAAGGAACTCGGACCCCATGAGCGTCTGCACCTTGCAGAGGCCTGGGCGACCCCAAACACCAGGTGAACCCAAATCCCGCTGTGACGTTTCTGCAGTGTCCCTGGGTATAGAGAAGCAGTGTAGCTTAAAAGCAAGGGAATTGAAATCCACAGCAAGAAACAGCAGCACTCATTGAGGGCATACCGTGTGCCAGGCACCATTCAAAGCATGAGCTCACTCGGGGGCCCCCCCATGGCCCGAGGCTCACTGGCCCGGAGAGGGCGGCACCTGGGGGTGGGGGTGCCGGCAAACATCTCTCCCAACAAAGGCCCTGGTTTGCAGCAGTTTCTGTGATGTGGCTTCTCCACTGTGGCTGTCGCGGCTGGGAGCGGGCTCCCGCAATCCTCTGCCAAGGACTCGGCGCCCAGAGTGGCGGAGCCCATCGGGAACCAGGGTGCGCCGTTCATCGTTAATTCACCGGCAGAGAATGACCACGTGGCCTGGCCACATCATTAGTAACCGTGATTTAGTGACATTCCTGCCCATGTTCCAGAAGTCCTTCCTGGACAAGGATCCTAGCATCCACATTCCCAGCCAGTTCCAAAGGCCGGAATCGAGGACAACTGGAGGCCTTTGGAAGGCGTGCCCCCCCACCCCACCCCTCCTGGCCAGGAGCCAGCATCAGTTTGGGAAACTGCACAGAAGCCAGCCAAGGCCAGAGCAGCGGGTGAACACTGTAAAAGTGTCCCTGGAAAGTCCTGAACCTCCGAGGTTCCCCACGGAGTCAGAGGGAAGGAGTCGGAGGGTGTGGGGTGGCCTCCAAGTGAGCAGGCCACCAAGAGGCCACCTGACGGTCCTCCAAGATGAGGACAGAGCATCCAGATGGCCGGCTGCTTGAGAGCGAGCACCTCCTCTCCCACTGTTCTTTCGGACTGACTTGCTTCTTCTAAAGACACTGAATCCTAGCATTTCAGCTCCTGTGACTCATTGAGAATACAGTAAGCTCAGCCGTCGGTGATGGAGGGAGAGGGGCAGAGCGAGATCCAAAGGTCACCCCAAAGAACACTAGATCTCCCATGAGAGGGGCCTCGATGGACCCCAGACTTCTGAGGGTCAAGAAAGACAGTTTGGGACTTGGAACAAAGAAGTGCTTTTGTGAAGAGAAATATTGATGTACGTTCCTTTTTTTTTTTTCCCTGTGATTTTTCTGATGAAAAATCTGATGTTTTGTGGTCCTTGAAGTTCACCAAAATGGCTACAACGTGAACATCCTTCCTCCTCAACCCCTGGTCGGAGGACTGCCAGGATGCAGAGCCCCATCTGTGTTCTTGCCGCCCTTGCTGGAGCAGAGAACTTGACCCGACCCCTTTCTTGGGGGCACAAAGGGCTCGAAGGACCCAGGGGCCTCCTGGCACCGGGGCGTGCTCACCTGTGATGCCCTGGGTTGTGGCCCCACTGGGGCTTGTGTCCCCACC